AGAGAAACACTCGTAGAGATGTGCTGGTAGAAGGTGACAGACGAGCTCAGGTTGTGTGGAAGTTCGCACCTGCATCTTAGCGTAACTGTCGCGCCGCACCTGCCGCACCAGCGTGTAGGTGCAGCGATGTCTAGTGCAGCCTCCAAGTCTTTACGACTTCCAAGGCTATGTATCTGTATCCTGAGCGTTAGGAACATCGAAAGATACCAACGAGTATACGAAGGCCTGGACTACTTCAAGAAGCTTCGCAATGACGTAGGGCGTGCTCACATGCCACATGGTCCGACTCGCAGGGCTGTCCAGGGCTTGCTCTCGCCATATCTCGCAACATGCCACCGACCACGACCTCGTAAGTCGCGCAAAAGTATTTCTGCTTATTGGTTACGGTCAGAGTGTCTTGGAATGCCATCGCTACCTGGGGAAATTGCGGTTCAAGGTAGTCTGCCCGAACAACGTCATCTTGCATGGGATGCTGGGCGAGAGAGGGATTGTGCCGGGGGGCAGCGCACGAGAATCAAGTCAGCAGTTCATCAAAATCTGACACGTTATGGGAGAGAAGTTTAACGTGAAGGGATATCCAAGAGATGAAGTTCACGCCGAGATCAGCATGAGGTACAGGCGGGTCGCCTCGCGCCGTCGCACGCTGTTGGGCACGAAGATCTGGTGAGATTCACCAACGACAGGACCTCGAGTGCGCCGATCAGGCTGTCTCGATGGGTCCAAGTTCCGTGGTAAGAGAGTTCGCGCGGCTGTCGTTCGGTCAGGTAGCGACTCCATGTGGCGCCCGAACTGTACCTGACTCCGACCTTGGAATTTGGTTGAAGGCCCCAGGGTCAATCGGCGCGTTTCCACCTGGGGCGGTGCTCTGGTGAGACTGACACAAGCAGCCCCAGAACGCCTCGTGGGAGCGATGGCTGTGAACGTGCCGAGTGACACATGACAGAAGACAGATGTCTAAATTTTCGCAGCCATGCGCTCGCAGCGACGGGCAGTAGGCGTGCAGGCGACTGCTTCTGCTCTGCTGCTGCGAACTGGGCCAGAGGTGCAGCGGCATTGGCGGCCATTGGGCAGGAAGGATGCTGGTGATCAGGGTGGGTGGTTTAGTGCAGCGTGGAGGTTACGTCATTGCAAAAGAGCGAGACAGCGCCCGACCTTGGTCTGCTACCAACCCCACTACTCTCGCCGGGGAGTCAACTGGGCCAGCCTTCTCGATAACGTCAGGCCACGGCACAAGTCCATTCTTCTGCTTACCTTGATAACCATCCCTCTTCCCCTTCCCGTACCAACTTGCCCGTGTTCCTTCTTCCAGCCCATCCGCTGTCTCCTGTGAGAGCGGCACGTCACCCCACCACTATCCCCCCAGCCTGTCGCTCACTTGTCGCTTAGCCGCACAATGTCGTCGCGACGCTACCCAACCGCTGAGCTCTATGAGGAGCGTGAGCGCGACTTCTACCGCAACGGGAACCGCAGCGATCGCAACTATGAGGAACTTGACCTCGAGCTGCGACGCGGCACTGGCCCGGACCCCAGGCGCAGTGCCCCCGACTTCTTCCGCGAGGACTACAACCGCCCGACTGCTGGCCCCATGGTTCTGAGGAGTCGTGATGAAGACAACTTCTCGCGAGCAGGACCCCGCAGCAGCCGCGGCGGCTTCGACGACGATGTGCGCTCTACCCGGAGCCGTCCCCCGCCTCCGCCCTCTGCTATGCGGGGCATGGAGCGGGACGACATCAGCATCCGTCACAGCGAGGCCCCTACGCGACGCGGACGCAACGACGACATCGACGAGACGGATATTACCATCAAACGCCGTGAGCAGTCCCGTGGCCCCCCAGAGCGCGACGACATCATCTTCCGCCGTGGCGATGGCCCCCCTGTGAGGTCTGTCAGCCGACCCGCCCCGCGTCAGGTGGACGACGACGATGTGCGCTTCAGGGGCCGCGGTGGAAACGACATCGACTTCCACGCCTCTCGTAGCGAAGTCAGCCGCCACGGCAGGGACGTCTCGGCTGAACGAGGCTCTATCCGCTTCCAGGAGCGTGACGGTAACTTCGAGCTTCGCGCAAACCGCCGAGAGTTCAGCCGCGATGGCAGAGATACCAGCCGAGAGAGGAGCTCCTTGACGATTAGAAACCGCGAGCGGAGTCTCCCTCCCCCATCCCGCAATCGCGGCGATCTGATCGCTAGAGAGCGCGAGGAGTTTGTCATCCGCCGTCCACGCGCCGAGTCTCCTCCCCAGAACAACCGCGAAGTCATAAGAGACGAGATCATCATCCGCCGCAAAGAGGAGCGAGCACCTACTCCTTCGCCCTCCCCATCCCCGCCTCCTCCACCCCCAGCGCCAGCTCCTGAGCCAGAGATCCGTCCCCCGATCATCCAGGAGATCATCACACACCACCGACACATCGACCATGGTAAGTATTGTGGCTGACAGAATCCAGGTTCAGTACTAACAGTCGTACAGGTGTCGTCAGGGCCCGCACGCCAACACCGCCTCCCCCACCGGCGCCGCCGTCTCCTCCCCCTCCACTAAACGAGACCCTCGAGATCGAGATCAACCGACGAGAGTGAGTACTCACTTCACATACCATTACACGCAGCCTAACCGTTCCCCAGGAGCCACAGCCGTGGACGTGGAAGGAGCAACTTCGAGGAGCTCGATATTGATATCAACTTCAACCGCGACCAGGTACGTCACCGCGAGCGGTCGTTTAGCCCCCCAGGGCGTTTGCACACAGCCCCCATGCCCGATATGGACTTTGATTTGGAAGCCGAGTTTTACAACCGCAAAGCACTTGAGCGAGCCTACCCCGGTGAAGCTTGGAATGGAGTTACCAAAGACTGGTCCATCATCGACGTGCCGCCCGGCACCAGTCGTGTGCGCATGGATGGCATCGGTGGTGCTGCCCAAGAGATCACCTGGCAACGCTACAACGGCGTTCGCAGATCAAAGTTCATCAGCGGCGATGATGAGCATACCACTGACATTTACAACCAGGGATCGGTGAAGCAAAAGAAGAAGGACATGTGGACCGAAATCACAAAGGACCTGGTGCTCCGCGAAGCCATCGATTCGTGTGGCTATTCTTGCGAGGAGACCGACGACTTTTTCTACGTCATGGAATACCTGCGATACGTAAGTTTGTGATACCTTGTACAAGGTGCGGTATACTGACATTCATTCAGGAGGACGTTCTGCACCTCGTGGAGATCTCCGACGAGATCCGTCGTAAGCGCAAGAGCCGCATTCGGGAAATCGAGATTGAGCGCAAGTCTATCCACGACTCTCGCCCAGCCTCAGCCTATGACGACCGTTTCTACGAGCACGAAGTATCGTTCGACAGCCGTCGCAGCCGATACCGTTAGATTCTGAACATGGACGAGGACCCTCGTACAGCTTTCACTTGACGCCGGACCTGTGAGTTGGAGATTCGGGAGCCCTTCAGAGAAGTCTTACACCATTGTTGAGTCCGCGACAATCTGCATCGTTTGTTTCGACAGGCGAATCCTTCGATGAGGCCAGCGTGTTTAGAAATGTCTCGCCACCTCCGAGCAACGTTCACGGTCTTCCAGCACGCTTGTCGGAGAAAGTCTCAACCTGACACTGAACGACTCACAAGATCTCTGCAACCTGCAACGAGGACACGGCCTGTAGCACTAATGACTATGACGATTACGACTAGCATACCCGGAGCGAGTAAGAAAGAGGAGGTTTTTGCAGTTTTTCTTTGATGCTTTTTCGGATGTGGAAATCGATCAAAGTGGCGGATGGTGGGAGGTACATAATTCTCTTTTTTCTGCTGTTACCAATCAAATTCATGAGCTTTATTGGCGTTGACGTTGTGATCTATCTGTTTGCGAACTATCGATAAAACCTATTCTAGTGATTTCTGGCGTCGGACTGCTTTTAGTGATGGCTGTGTGCATGCCGCAAAAGCAAGGGTGGACACCAAGATCAGACCACAAGTTCATTCAAGCCCGTGCCTTTTTCCATCGAAACCACGTTCACTAATACGATCGCATACAACGTTACATCATATACATATTTCCAATTACGTCGTTCCCCTCTCCCCGAAGTGTACTATATACAGCGTTCGCGCGCTGCAAGGCTAAAAATACAGACGACGCCCGCGGGCGCCGCTTACCCCGCTTGGCACGTCCCCCCCTGTCTTGTACGGGCGCTTCCACGCCTGTTACACGACGCCGCGAAGACGCTCTCAACCCTGTCCGTCCCCTAAGCGCCCGCTCCACACGAGAGCTCAATTTCCAGCTCTCGTCCGTCGCGCTGCTGAGTGGCTGCCCTCGTCATAGGTGTACTTTGTTCCAAGATAAGACATTCCTAAGCTGGCGTTGCGGCAAGGCTAGTGGTTGGACGAGCGGTTGGTGGGGTCGGGGTTTGTGGTTGTTTCATGTGCGGCGTGTTGGCAGGCATGGGGTTTGGCGTGTAGGAGTAGGTTTGTATGCAAAGTATAAGGTCCCCGATGGTGGGAGGCGTTGGGTTTAGGGCTTGTTTATGCTGTGGTACTTTATCTTTGAGGGGCATTAATTGGGTATTGCTTTGCTGTTCGCTCTTTCTCTCCCGTTCTTTTCCATTTGCTTGCCTTGAAACTGAAAGAGCTCGGTCGATTGTTGCGCGCGCTTTTGGGTGTTATTTGGTACTGAGATATGTTTGCTATGATATACGTATGGCAGAGGGTGGGTGTGGTACTTGCGCTGCTGGCTTGTAAGTCATCTCTAGTAGTTCGAACTACATACGATTGCTTGTCTTTGCATGCACGTTGCTTACTTATTGCGCAGTGTTCCCAGCGCTCATATCATGCCAAAACACAACAACGAACGTCACTACCGCATCGACCTTCTACCTTGATCGGACAGAAACACAATTTTCTATCAACATCGCGAACGATTCAGATGACGTGTTCATCTACTATGCCAGCCCGGCGTATTCATGGGTTGGCGTTGGGTTTGGAGAGAAGATGGAAGGGAGTCTGATGTTCATCATGTACCCCAACGACAAGAGTGATAGTATGTTCACTCATTTACATAAAGTCGAATTGCAAGACACATGCTAACAGGTATCAGACGTAACGATATCCACACGCATCGGGTCCAAAGCCTCAGAGCCAACCTTTAACTCCTCCATCTCCATCACCGTCCTCCCAGGAACCAGAGTCGACGACGACATGCTCATCTTGAGAGCGCGATGTGGCAACTGCCGCTCTTTCATTGACACCGAAGCGACAGCACACCCGATGATTTACGCTTTTGGCCATGGACAGAACATGCAATCCGACTCACCCTCTGCAAACCTCAAACGACACATCCGCTATGGTCACTTCACCATGGACATGGTAACAGCAACCGGACCAGGCGGCGTGCCAGCAAAGAGCAACGCACTCAACGGTGTAAGCATGGTGGGCGACATGACCCGAGACCACGACCGAGCGAACCTCGCACACGCAGTCATAGGATGTCTAGCGCTCTTCCTACTCTGGCCACTCAACGTGTTACTCGTGGCCTTCTTCAAGAACATCAAGATACACGTCGTCTTCAGCGTACTCATCATGATCTTCCTGCTTGTCAGTTACGTGTTGGGAGGAGTTACCAGTGCGCAGTACAATCGCGTAAGTGACCCTTTGCCCACGTCAATACCCCCATACTAACGCGAACCCAGTCGAAAGCATACAACACCCCACACCAAATCATCGCATTCATATCCCTCCTACCCCTCCTCCTAACCAGCGTCCTCCCATCCCTGAAACCATACCTCCCGCGCCTCCAAAAAGCTCTCCACACGCCCCTCGCTTCAGCCTCCCTCGTCCTTCTCATCCTAACCGGCGGCCTGGGACTCCACCTCTCAGGCCAAACCCGGCCAATCGTCCTCATCTACACCGCCATTTCCATTGCCGTCTTCCTCTTCATCTTCATCATCCAGTCCTGCATTCGGAAACGTGGATCCGCATACTCCCGCGCTGAGAGGCAACAAAACCGCGGGTCGGGCGAAGACAGCGATGAGATGGTCATGCTGGGCAAAATGGAGGAGCAAGGTATGCCGTATGGGCACAGTGCGGAGCAGAATGATAGTAGGGAGTTCGGTGCTGATGGACAGAGGCAGCAGCATGTGAGGAATACGAGTCGCACGCATTATGGAGGTGGGACGATGCCTGGTCCGCAGTATTTGCTTAATATGCATCCGGGGGTGCCGGTGCAGGTTAGTCGCATGTGAGCATGGAAGAGGTTGGGGTTCATGATTGTATGATTAGCATGGCGTTCGGGATGTTGATATTGTTTGGGGTCTGTGTTGTTAATGTCAGTTCATTTTGGGGCATTTGGGAAGCGAGAGATACCATGGAGCGTTGAGGCATTTCCGGGCGTTGGTCATATTCATTTTTAGTTAGTTTGAATGGTATCGTCATCGACGAGCTAAATGTGCCGCTTAGAACGTAATCTTTGTCGTTATATATTGAGTACAGCTTTCTCGTATCTGAGATTCAGCAATTCGCAACTTGCTTGGAAGTTCAACGGGCAGCCCAGCCAGGAACCTTTGCCCGAAGATAAACCCATTCTCCGTCATCTATATCGCCAACAGATATAACGCCCATCTGCTTTTGGGCGTCGCTGACATCGCCGAAAACAACAGGGACGATCTTTGGGCCTTCAACACGGATGTACTGTCCTTTGGGTCCTTTGAGTGGTCTGATTGTGATGGCAGGCCAGCAGTCCTCAAGTTTCGGATCTCCGTAGCAGCAATCGAGCACGGCCAAGAAATCGTCTTCGCTACGTGCTACTCCGCCCCAGGGATCAGTCGGTTTTCGGATGCGGAGCTTGATCTTGACGCCGCGGTTCGTACACAGATAGTCCTCTGGCAGCCTGAATTCGTCGTCGAATCTGCGGTTCATTATCCCGCTTGAAGTGGCGAATTGCCTTGGGTGACTCGCAAATACCGAGGTGGGCGTTCCAGGAGAGTGTGGAAGGGGTTCTTCCCATGCGAATAGGCTTTGATCTGCGGAAAACCTCATGATGTCTTCCTGAAGCCGGACAAAAGCCTTCTTCCCTTCACCATACATTTGCGTCATGTTGACGTCGAAGATGCCCATCAGGGAATATGCCATGTCTTCTATTCGTGTCGTGTTGCGCCCGGCCATCCAACTCATTCGCTTTGCGATACTCTCATCTTTCATGTCGCTTTTGCCTGAAAGCACATCTGTGTTGATACCAGTGATACGCCCCAGTTCCACACACAACGAGCTCTTCCTGCCAAAATGTCTCCATTCTGTTCCGTAGAACCGTATCTCCTTTGGAGCTAGTAATTCTTGCAAGGTCCATCCTCGAGTGAACCATCGCGACCTGGCCAGCTGTTCTTTATCGTCATTGGACATGAGGCTGTCAGTCCAGGCTTCGGAGCCCACATTGATATCATCGAGATAGGCGTAACACTCCGCCGCTTCTTCATACCACCGGAACATGCTGTTGATGGCTTCGCTCAGCTCAGCAGAAGCTTTCTTGTCGATGCAGCAAGTATCCACCCACACTAGCGATAATCCATCGCTCAGGGCTTGCTGACAGGCTTTCAGAATCTTCCAGTAGCCGCGGCTGCTCTTCAAAGTGGCATCGTCCCGCAGTGACTTGTCTGTAAACTGCTGCAGAGTGACTTCGTCTTCGCCCCACGTGTGTGATAGAATGGCATACGGCGGTATCCTGGACTCGTCCATGAAGAGCCGCAGCTCAAGTGTGGTAGCGTCAATAAGTCGCATGATGTTTTGCGGGACTGAAAGTTTGAAGATGGATCTGACAACGAAGTGAAGTGTTGTCTTATGAAGTTGCGATGATTGAGCTAGGCTTATGCTGCCTAGTGAGCTCAGCTGAGGGGCTCACGTTGGCAGCGCTTACGCGCATCGCTGCGAGTCTCAAGCCCATCTGTACTGACTTGACAGACTGAAGGAGTGGCTAGAAACTACAGACGAAAGCCGGGTCTGTGCGTTGGTCTCCGACGATACCAGGCGAACGACCGTCGGGGAAGCTCCGGTAAGCGCCCAGGAAGCAGTCACCCGGGCATACCAGAAGCCGCCGACATATCGCGCAGTATGATGCTACATTAACATTCCGAAACCTGAAGTATACTTTGCCTTGTCGCTAGGTTCAGTTGTTGCTTTGCTTGGTTCGGCGAATGTTTCACGCGTGCGACATGTTGACAGCTAAACTTCAGGGTCCGGCTCTTCACGTGACAGATGACGCGGCGGCAATCGTAATGCACGGCTGAGGCACCGCCTCCCTCGTCCTCCTTGATACTTTCGTTCTGCAACACCTCTTCGCCCTTCAACCTTTGGAAATCTCCCAAATACAACTCACAATGTCTCCTAGCAAGTTGGGTGTTTTCGCCCATTTGGCGCTGGCCGCCAGCGCTGTGCTCATCCCTTCGACCATGACGAACGTGGAAGACCTCGGGGACGACCACGCTTTTGAATCTCTCGCCATCAACCCCAGCCAGCGATCCGTCGCGCTGGAGTGCCCTGGATGCGCCGTTGCGACCCTAGATGGGAAAGATCTCAAGTGGAAGTCTGATGTTGGGAGTGCCTTCGTACGTAGTCGGCTATATGCCTCACAGCCTCGCATGCTAACAACCAACAGCGCCTGGACTTTGACGTCGGACCCCATGGCGACGCTTTGAACCTCGACAACGCCCGACTATACCCGCCATCATTCGGCTTCCCTCCCCAGCCTTACACCCTTACACAAGTGGATCCGTCTACAGGAGAGGGTCTACGTCTGCAAATCACCGGCTATGAGTTCCGCTACGATGGCGCAGAGACTATCTCGGAGGAGGGCACCGAGCTACTTCCGATGACCTTCCAAATCAAATCGGTCGAAGGCACTGCTGTCAACCCTCCTGCGCTCCAGATCAACGTGCTGAAGAACTCGGAGGGTCGCCTCATGATCGCATCCTTCAACGAGGCTGAGCGTAGCCCGGCCACACCATCAGACAAGGAGTGCAACGAGTGGCCGCTTTACTGCAAGTGGAAGAACATCATGGCCGACCGCATCGAGCAGATCAAGGGCATGCGCAAGCCTAGGCCCGGCTGCCACAAGCGACCCCATGCCGGTGCCCGTCCCAACAACCCCATGGAGCATGAGGGCATGGCTGGAAAGCCCCCGCACCGCTTCCGCCCTGGCAAGGCTCACCCGCACCACCACCCTCACCACATGGGCCAACACCGCCACCACGGCTTCGCCAAGATGGCTCGTCGCGCCTTCTTCACCATCTTCGTCCCTATCCTCATCGGTATCTTCGCTGGTACACTCACATACCTCGTCGGCATGGCTCTCGGATGTCTCATCGCTATCACCGTTGCCAAGGTCCGTGGCCAGCGCTACCAGCCGATTGCTCTGGACGAGGAGGATGTCGAAGAGGCGGAGGAGCGCGGAGAGAAGGAGGAGTACGCCGAGCTTCCAGCATACGATGCCCCTCCTGTCTATGAGGAGGCTGCTGTCAAGAAGACCGATGAGACAAAGTAACGCTTACTCTAGGCCTGGAAGACGGTACAGGTGGCGAGTGGATATGGTCATGTCACGCTTCTGATTAGATGGATAGTTTGTAGCATGCCCCTCGTTTATAGTCCGTGTTGATTAGCTAGCTCTCGCAATGAATCTCTTTTTGTTCACATTGACGGTATTGATGCATTGCTTTGAAGTGCAAGTCTTACTTTACTCATTGCTAACGCTTGAATCCGAAATCTAACGATCTCATTGCTGCTCCATAATGGCACCCCTCTCCATGCGGATGAGCGTCCGATGCAGAGGTGTTCAATTGAAGACCCAGCGTGGGTAGACACGCCTTGTGCCACATGGTTCGTCCCAGTATGACCACTGATGACTTTAGAGGACAACCGGGTAAAGCACTCCAGGCAGCAGTACGAATTACGTGACTCATACGTTTGCATTGGTAGGCATGCGCATGAGCAACCAGCAAATCTGTCTAAAGAAGAGCGGGACACGACCACTGAATGGTAAGTTGGGATTGATTCGATCATGTGATGCCCTCGGAGTATTCTCAAAGATCAACAGATATGCGTATAATATAAGCCATTTTTTAGTCTGTCAGATTGGTGAAGGTATTGAGAGAGTTGAGGAGTCTATGACATGGCGGTGAAGCTTCAAGTAGATGTTTCAAGAAACTGAAGGGCAAACATAACATGCAAACTTCAGGAGACAGGAAGTGATAGATTAGTGAGAGGGATATGGTTCGATATCAAACGCGTCTTTCCCAGTTACTTGTCGCGGTGGTTGGTGTAGTTCGTGCACAGCGTGGACGCGTCGTGGCGGGGTAAAGAAGGCGTGCCGTGAATGAATCGAAAACGCGCAAGACATTGTATGGTAGTTCTAGATGTTTGTTGCATATGTCGCCGTCTTCTAGTAAGTTTTGAGAGAGTGCAGCATGCTGTAGCCGCATGCAGGACGATTATGGCGCAATCGAAGTTGGTGTTCCAGTCGCGTCGGCAAGCCGCGATTGAAGTTCCCGCACGGTCCACTTCGCCGACAGGTGCAGCAACCCGGCGCGCGCCTGCAAGCTTGGGTGGTCTTTGGAAGTGCTGCTTTCCACGCTTTTGATTTTCCCCCAGATGTGAAGGCGCAAGGCCTTTGATTTCATGTTCTGACTCGCCCCGACCGGGCCTAGCGCCACTCTGTGTGATCTGGAGGCACCCGCGCCCGCCGCCCTCGTCTATATAACCGGCCCACCCGCGTCTTTGGAGTCTTTTCTTTCTTCTCTTTTCGCAACCCCCAGCTTTCATCTTCATCCTCGCCATTTACGCTGCACCAACGCGCGTGATATACCAATACCCATCACCTTCATCTCCACTAACCTTCCAACAACATGACTGGACGTAAGTACATCTTTATTCCTCTATCTTTACCCTCGCATCGACGTTGTCGTCGCTGCTGCCGCTGCTACAGATGGCGGTGAGGCGCGCTTGGTGTTGAGGCTCAACGCGTCGCCCCACTAATGCACCGCGCATCACGACACTCATACACAACCACCATGCCGTCGCGGCATCCCTCATTACCACAAGACAACATGCTAACATACCTCTGCAGGCGGCAAAGGTGGCAAGGGTCTCGGAAAGGGTGGCGCCAAGCGTCACCGCAAGATTCTCCGTGACAACATCCAGGGTATCACCAAGCCCGCTATCCGCCGTCTCGCGCGCCGTGGTGGTGTCAAGCGTATCTCAGCCAGTAAGCATTCCCAACCTCGTCGCCATGCCAGACAAGTCCTAACATCGCCGCAGTGATCTACGAAGAGACCCGTGGTGTCCTCAAGACTTTCCTCGAGAGCGTTATCCGTGACGCTGTCACCTACACCGAGCACGCCAAGCGCAAGACCGTCACCTCCCTCGACGTTGTCTACGCCCTCAAGCGCCAGGGCCGTACCCTCTACGGTTTCGGTGGTTAAACATCTCCTCTTCTCGTCACGACACATCGGCGCCCGGCATCGACGGCTTCTTGCGGTTTCTGGGTCGGGAACTTTCCGCATGGTCACACATTGTTTATGGATATGATCTGGTCACGGCTATCGGTCTTCACGGCGTTATGTTCATGGGTGGTTTGGAAATGATCAATATGAAGCTTCGATCTTCATTTGGCTAGTTCAGTCAATGCATACATATTCATGCAACTTGCTGTCAAACTGTTTTGTCTTGTGACGTTGACTCATGTTGTGCCGTCTTTGCCTCGAGCACAGCTTATCGCTTGCTATATTCGACAGTATCTAACTCTAGACAATTCCCTTCCACCTTGGCATTCTCCGACCGCCATCTCGTCAGCTTCACTAACACTTCTCCACGTCGGTCGCAACCATAGCCAGGAGGTACGCTTGAGTAACCACATCAAGCTGGTCAAACGGCTGTCCACTCTTCGAAGCGAGTATACCTTGGCGACTGATGATCTCGTTGTACAACTTGCGATCCTCAATATGAACATTGCCAGCCCGCAGTATGACCATCGGCACGATCTTGACCTGGTCGAGTTCAGGAACATGGACCTTTGCATAGCCTCTAGCATGACCACAATCCGGCGGAGGCACTCCCACAATCACACCCTGGGCACCAATGAACTTCTCCGCATGCTGTCCGAGTAACTCGCAGTAAACCTACTCGCTTCAACTGTCATTCTTATCCTGTATCCAGCTCCCCACTGCCTCCTCCACCTCTTTACAGCACCCCGTCACCCCAAACAACCCTCCCTCAACTCTGACACTCTCCAAACTCCACTTCTTCAACTCTTCAGTAACACTCTCCACGCCGTCCTCCACAACCAACACATCATACCCCCTATCACTCGCCTCTCTTACCGTACTGCTCACACACGCATCGGCCGTAACACCACAAACCACCAAATTCTTCACTCCCTTCGCTCTCAACATCATATCAAGTTCTGTATGCGTGAACGCCCCTCGTCCCGGCTTATCAATAACCAACTCTCCCTTCGCCGGCCTCAACTCTTCAATAATCTCATGCCCCTCCTCACCACGGATCAAAAGACGGCCTAACGGGCCCTGACTCCCAATCTGCGCGCCGTTGACCCGACTCCGATGAGCTTCTCTACTGTTCACTGTTGCAAGTGAGGCATCGTGCCCTTCCCGTGTGTGTACGATGGGGAAGCCTGCGCGTCGGAATGTGGACAGTAAGGATGCGATGCGGGGAATCAGTGGCTCGAAACGGGCGAGAGAGTAGCCTTGGGAGGAGAGGTAGCCGCCTGGTGAGAGGAAGTCGCGTTGCATGTCTATGATGACGAGGGCGGTTGTGATGGGATGTAGGGATGAGTTATGGGGCCAGGCGTAGGGGGTTGTTGTGGGTATTTGCGATGTCATTGTCTTTTGGTCGCGGACTTTATGCTACTGAGTGTATAGCAGGAACGAATTGATGTCGTGATGATGTGATGCAGGTACGATGATGACCATGAGGGGTTGAGATGGTGGGCATGTCGTTATCCATTTGTGCATACATCGCGTCGTCAAAGTTACCTACAATCACATCTCCGCGCGGCAGTCTGTTACGTTCGTGTATTTCTTGTATTGTTTTTAGTGATCCTATCGCGTCGGGTTGTAACAGCCGGCTATCGGGATCGGCAGGTACCTATGCATCTTCACTCCTTCCGCACCTGCTTCAATTCTCACGCCGCAACATCACCGCAATACCTCTTCGTACATCGAGTTTGCAATCCAAAACACCAGAATAGGAATCAACGAGAACAAAATATGTCAGGTCATCAGCCTTATACACATCCCACGGCCGCTCACCTATCTGATCCTGCATACCCCACTTCTACCAGCACCCTGGTTCCCCATCATGCCGCTTCCGCTTCCTATCTCGACCAACCCACTTCACGCGTCTGATGCGCGATAAGACATGTACGAGATGCTTGGCGACTTCCCGAAATGGAATCACAGCCTGGAGCATGGCCGTTATCTCGATGACGCAGGGTTCGGCCGTTGACGGCGCCCTCCAGGGCTGTCGTTCGATGGCTGCGAGAAGATGGGTTTGCGCGATACCCGGACAGGTATATCTAAGCGGCTAGGAGACACATTAAACAATCGCTTCGAGGCTGTTCGCATGCTTGCAGTCGTCTCTTACCCTTCTTTCTGTCGGTTTTGTGATCATCGAAATGGTAGACATGGCAAGCACCCCAGAAGAGAAGAAGGTCATAGACGAGACCAACAGTGACGATGATGTGCTGGCGCAGCTGGGGTATACCCAAGGTAAGCTCGATGAAGTCACATCTCCAAACATGTGCTGATTGCATGCACAGAGCTCAAGCGCAGTTTTGGTCTGCTTGGGATGGTCGGCTTCTCGTTCAGTATTGTGACTTCATGGACTGCACTTTCTGGTGTACTCATTATTGGAGTTGAATCTGGAGGGCCGCCGGTCATGATTTGGGGCTGGCTATGCGTCTGTCTAGTCACACTTGCTGTTGCTTACTCGATGGCTGAGATGTGCAGCGCGTATGTACACTTGCGCCTGGCTTTATGGCTGAGCTAATCGTCTCTCAGATACCCTGTTGCAGGCGGGCAGTACTCGTGGGTGGCTATCCTGGCACCAACGCGCTGGGCTCGCTCAATGAGTTATCTCTGTGGATGGTGAGTATTCTTCAATATGACCTCTCAATGATATTCTAACGCGAACAGGTTCATGCTGATTGGAATCATATGTATGGGCGCAGTTAACAACTTCGTCGCTACGAACTTCATTCTTGGTACCGCCCAGCTCAACTATGGCTTCACGATAGAGCGTTGGCACACAGTGCTCATCGCCTACCTCATCACATTCATTGCAGCGGCGTCCAACATCTATCTGCCACACATCCTGAACAAGCTTTCGAAAGCGATCTTCATCTGGAACCTCACTTCCTTCGTAGTCTGTCTTATCACCATTCTGGTCACGAACGACCACAAGCAATCGGCGAGCTATGTTTTCAGCGACTTCGAGAACTTTACTGGATGGAACGCGCCATATGCAACATGCCTAGGGCTACTTCAATCAGCTTTCGGAATGTGCTGTTATGATGCGCCATCACACATGACCGAGGAGATCAAAAACGCCCGGAAACAAGCACCCCGCGCGATAGTCATGTCGGTTTATATTGGCTTCTTCACCGGGTTCGTCTGGCTAGTCGCACTGTGCTTTTGCATTGGCGATCTTGAAGAGACCGGTGCTACAGCGACAGGAGTACCTGTCATTGCGATCATATTCAACAGCACGAATAGTGTGGCTGGAACATCTACGTTGGCATCTATGATCGCTATCATTGCAACAGTATGCGCCAACTCGCTCATGGCAGAGGGATCGAGAGCTGTATACGCGTTCGCAAGAGACAACGGACTCCCTTTCTCTAACGTACTAAGCAAGATCTCGACAAGATCGGTGCCGGTATACGCCATTATATTGACGGCCGTCGTACAGATGGCTTTCAACTCCATCTACTTTGGTACAACGACTGGCTTCAATACCATCATCGCCATCGCTACGCAAGGATTCTACCTCTCCTATCTAATGCCTCTACTCTCCCGCATTCTCGCCCACTTCTCCGGTAAGAAGACTCGACTTGAAGGCCCGTACTCACTCGGTCGCTGGGGCATTGTTCTCAACATTATCGGATTTTTGTATCTGGGATTCATTTGTGTCGTGTCCAACCTACCTAGTGTCACGCCTGTGACGAGCGAGAACATGAACTACACTTCTGCTGCGACGGGAGTGGTTATGTTCATTAGCTTGATCTTTTGGATTATGACTGGAAGGAAGAAGTTCACTGGGCCAGATGATGGGAACTTGCTAGATGTGGGGAGACATGTCGCATAAGCTTCGGGTATTCCGCTCAGTACCCTTTCTTGTTACTAGTGTCTCCCCTCCGACAAGAGAAAATGGAGTATAAGACACGTTCCATGCATTATCTTTGTTGACATGCTTGTGAGTCACTGTGACGCATAGCGCAAGGGTCGAGCCTCGCTACCGCCTGCGGTTAGCACAGGGCCCACGCACCTGCATCCAGGGACCGTTTGATGATTACGGATCGATACCACAACAACCTCACAATTCTCTCAAAGCTTCCGGCACGGCAACAGTCGCCTCGGAAGTCGCCTCATGCTGCCGAAATACAGAGCGCGCATCATCTACGACAACGCCAGGCGACCAGTCTCACATCGTAGACAGACTGTCACACCATGTCGAAAAGAAAAAACCAGCGCGAAAAGGAAAGGCTCAAGCGTCGTCGCGAGCGATACAGCATCGCTAGCACAGTCGAATCTCGAACCCTTCGGAAAGGAGCAAGGGCGCAAATCGCGCGCGAGCGCGCCGTAAGGCTATGGATTTATCCCTGGATCATGGCTCCGACAGGCCGGTTTCGGCATTCGTATCCAAAAGCCAGTCTTCTCGGCCTGCCTTCCGAGATTCGCCAACAGATCATCTACGAAGCGTTCAGCATGAAGGAGCTAAGACACATGGTGGAGTACACAGAGAACAAGGGAGCTTTGGCGGCAGCTTTGACAAAAGAGAAGGCGCAAAAGTTGAAACAACGACGAGAGACAGCAATGGGTGTACCTATGTCGCAGTTCGAAAGCGACTGCATCACGATGCTACATCGGCGCATTGCTGATTTTTGCTGTGTGTCGCATTTCCTACACACCGATATGGAGTACGTGGGGAAGCTGTGGAAGAAAGATCTGGAGAAGTCACTCAAGTGGCAGTTCTCGGCGCCGCTGAAACTGCACAAAGCGCCTACCCAGGGAACTGCTCACGTTCCGAGACGCATAAAGGGGAAAGTGGTCAAAGTGAAGGGGCCGGGCAAGCATGCTAGACGACCCCCGAAGTGTTGGAAGTGTGAGGAAAGACACCATGATAGAGATCCCATCTGTCCGATGGCGAGATATGATCTTGAGAAATGGCGGCGACTGACGAAGAA